CTAATCTTTCTCCAGTGTAGACGTGATTAGGCGGCCTGGGTAGAGCTGTCAAAAGTTGGATGCTGTAGCAAAACTAGAAGATACAGAAATCTGAATCATAGCGCATATCTCTATGCCCTCAATGAAAGAACTGCCATTGCAGCAGTGCTAGAGCGGCTTTGGATTCTCTCGACACCCACAGGACAGATCCCACTGGTCTAAACCAAAGGTCTTCATGACAAGTATGTCAGGACATAACTACTTCCCGGTTATCTGATTGGTTGGCGACACGCTTGGTCCGTGCTTGTGGGCGGCGTGAGCTTCAGCGGCAGAAAAAAAGTTCGTGGCCAACCCCGCCGCGGTTGCTATTCTCCATTCCCTTCCGACCATCGCAATTCTCTGCTCTCATCACTTTCCCTCAGGATCTTCTCGCGCAGATTTTCTCTCAGTTCATCTCAGGTCACTGCTGCGTGGGTTTTGATTATTTGTCACTCTGTGGTCCCCGTCGATCGCGGCTGACACCCGCCTCCGACGATCAAGTCAGCTTTGAGTCACCCTGCCATGTCCTTCCTTTGATAACGGCGCAATGCAGCCCCCAGAGAGCTCCCAGATCGACCTGGGCAAGGCCCAGGTTATTGATCGTGTTCCTAAAGTGATCAAAGAACTGAAATTTGGCGTTCTGTATGTGGGCCCACTTTTATTTTCGGCTTGAGAACCCAGCTGTGCTGCTTTCGAGTGAGGCCGGTCGCTAACATTCGGACTTTCTTCTTTTTCTCTTGCAGCACCAACGATGATATTGTCAGTCAAGCTGTGGTCGAAGTTTCGGACCGCAAGTTCTTCGACCTCGATCACGACCGAGCGGTTGTCTCCAATGGCCCTCTTGATGCGCGCATGGGTATCTCCAACAAGACGGCACAGTGCAAGACCTGTGGACACATGTTGAAAGAATGTAACGGTCATTTCGGTCATGTCAGGCTGGTCTTGCCTGCTTTCCACGTCGGTTACTTCAAGCGCGTGATTGGAATCCTTCAGGAAATCTGTAAGGAATGTTCGCGCATCCTGCTCCCCGAGACGGAGCGACGTGCTTTCCTGCGCGAGATGCGCCGCCCTGGATTGGACAACCTACGACGAATGCAAATTGCGAAGCGCATCAATGAACGTTGCCGGAAAACTCGACAATGCGAACACTGCCAGGCGATCAACGGTGTGGTGAAGAAGGCCGGCTCTAGTGCTTTGAAGATCACCCACGACAAGTTCCGGGCTTTCAACTCTTCGACATCCGTGAAGAAACAGCCTCCTATCAGTAAAACGGTGTTTGACGAGTCCTTTGCCGAAGCACGGAATGCTAACACGGAGATCGAAAAACATTTCAAGAAGGCCCAGGATGATATGAATGCTTTGCGAGTCTTGAAGCTCTTCAAGAAAATCTCCAACACAGATTGTGAGCTCTTGGGTTTGGATCCGAAGGAAGCCCGACCAGAGATGTTCCTGTGGCAATTCATCCCGGCTCCGCCTGTCTGTATTCGCCCGTCTGTGGGCCAAGAAGGTGCATCGACAGAAGATGATCTTACGGCCAAGCTCGGAGATATTGTGCAGTCGAATATCAATCTGAAGAATGCCCTACTGAAAGGCGCTCCAGTGCAAACAATCATGGAATGCTGGGATTACATGCAATTGCAAATTGCAGTCTACATCAACAGCGATGTCCCGGGCCTGAACAAGGCTGATCTCGGCAAGCCTATCCGTGGTTTCGTGCAACGACTGAAGGGAAAGCAGGGTCGTTTCCGTGGTAATTTGTCCGGAAAGCGTGTCGATTTCTCCGGTCGTACAGTTATTTCCCCCGACCCCAACTTGCGTGTTGACGAAGTCGCCGTGCCGGAACTTGTGGCCAAGAACATGACATACCCCGAGGTTGTGACCCGTTACAACAAAGAGAAGCTCCAAGCGCGTGTATTGAACGGATCTAAGAAATGGCCCGGCGCCAACTACCTCATGAAGAAGGACTCGACCTTCAAGATGATGCTGAAGTACGGTAACCTCAAACACGTCGCCAACGAGCTTCAGGAGGGAGATACGGTTGAGCGTCATATTGAGGACGGTGATATCGTTCTGTTCAATCGACAGCCCTCGCTGCACAAGCTCAGTATTCTTTCTCACTTCGCCAAAGTTCGGCCCCATCGAACATTCCGCCTGAACGAGTGTGTCTGTAACCCTTACAATGCTGACTTTGACGGAGACGAAATGAATTTGCACGTTCCCCAGACGGAAGAGGCCAGAGCTGAGGCTATGGAGTTGATGGGTGTGAAGAACAACCTGGCAACACCCAAGAACGGCGAGCCCATCATTTCTGCTATTCAAGATTTCATCAGTGCAGCCTATCTGCTGAGCAGCAAAGACAACTTCTTCGATCGTCGCTCATTCACCCAGATCTGTCTCTACATGCTGGGTCATGAAACGAAATTCGATCTCCCACCCCCATCGGTTCTCAAGCCCCAGATGCTCTGGACCGGTAAACAGGTCTTCAACATTTTGATGCACCCTAACAAGGAGGACCCCGTGCTTGTCAACCTGGACGCTGCTTGCCGTGAATTCAAGCAACCCAAGGATGGCCGGCCGAAGGATCTGGATCCCAATGATGCCTGGCTGGTGATTCGCAACTCCGAAGTCATGTGTGGTGTCATGGACAAATCCACAATTGGTTCCGGAAAGAAGGACAATGTGTTCTACATTATGCTTCGTGATTATGGCCCACCAGCTGCCGCTGAAGGTATGAACCGTCTGTCGAAGCTGTCGGCCCGCTGGTTTACCAACATTGGCTTTTCCATCGGTATCGGAGATGTTTACCCCAGTGACAGACTGGTCCAGTCGAAGAACGATCTGGTGGAAGCGGCTTACGCTGCTTGTGACGAGGTTATTGCCCAATACAAGGCCGGCACACTGGAGAAGTACCCGGGCTGCGACGAACTGCAGACAATGGAGAACCAGATTTCTGGTCTTCTCAGTAAGGTCCGTCAGCAAGCTGGTGACGAATGTATCGCCCAGCTCAGCAAGTACAACTCGCCCCTGATCATGGCTACTTCCGGTTCCAAGGGTTCCAGTATCAACGTGTCCCAGATGGTTGCACTTGTGGGTCAGCAAATTATCGGTGGTTCGCGTGTTCAGGACGGTTTCCAGGACCGAACCTTGCCTCATTTCCCAAAGAACGCGCGCCAGCCTCCTTCCAAGGGTTTCGTTCGAAACAGTTTCTTCTCTGGCCTCCTGCCTTACGAGTTCATTTTCCACGCCATGTCCGGTCGTGAAGGTCTGGTCGATACTGCCGTCAAGACTGCCGAAACTGGTTACATGTCTCGTCGGTTGATGAAGTCGCTCGAGGATCTCTCAACAAGATACGATGATACCGTGCGGAACTCATCCGCTGCCATTGTGCAGTTCCAGTATGGTGACGATAAGCTGGATCCCGTCGATATGGAGGGTAAAGCGAAGCCGGTACACTTCGATCGAACCTTTATCCACTCCGAGTCAACCACCTACGACAATGACGAGCGAAGCTTGTTGCCGCAGGAAATTATGGAAGTCTGCGCGGAGATGCTTGAAAAGGAGCGTGCGAAGCTCAATCGCGTGGATCTCATGGGCAATGAACTGGGCTACATGGACCGCAGCGACCACGGTGTCGATCAGTTCGAAAGTGCTCGCGACTTCCTCGATTCTATCGAACAATACGTTCAGGCCAAGGCTGAGAAGCTGATCTCCCGTGGTGGTGACATTGACCCCGCCGATGCTAGAAGCCGACAGGGCCTGGACCATACCGGCAAGTTGACCGAGACCACTCTCAGGGCCTTCATCGCTGCTTGTCTGTTAAAGTACAAGAAAGCCCAAGTGGAGCCCGGCCATGCCGTCGGTGCCGTCGGTGCCCAGTCCATTGGTGAACCTGGTACTCAGATGACCCTGAAAACTTTCCATTTTGCTGGTGTTGCAGGTATGAGTATCACACAGGGTGTACCCCGTATCAAGGAAATTATCAACGCTTCCAAGGAGATCAGTACTCCGGTCATTTCGTGCGAGTTGGTTACCAAGGATCAAATTGCTTCGGCTCGTATTGTCAAGGGTCGCATTGAGAAGACGTATCTCCGCGATGTGATCCACTCGATCACTGAGATTTGGTCGGGCAATGAGGCCTATGTTACCGTCAAGATCAACCAGAAGACGATTGATGATCTGCAGCTTGAGATCACGGTGCCTCAAATTCTTGCCGCCATTAAGAACCACAAGCGATTCAAGGGCGACGACCTCAAGTTCCGAACCACCCGCAACTCCATCTCCCTCATCATTGACCTTGATCCGGCCAGCAAGCAAGGCCTGTCGAAGACCGAGATTGCTGCTACTAGTGCCGATCCTTTCTTACGTCTGAAGCATCTGAAGCGCATGATGCCCAACATCCAGATCATGGGTCACCCACAAGCCGCCCGTGCCATTATCCGAACCGATGAGAAGGGAACTACCAACACCCTGCTGGTGGAAGGCTACGGTCTGAGGGAGTGTATGACTACTGCCGGTGTGGATGGTCTGCACACTAGGACCAACAACGTGATGGAGGCCCGTGAGGTACTCGGTATCGAGGCTGCCCGAAGCACCATCATTACTGAAATCAGTGAAGTCATGAAGGACATGGACATCGATCCTCGTCACATGCAGCTTCTGGCCGACGTGATGACCTACAAGGGTGAAGTCCTGGGTATCACTCGTTTCGGTCTGGCCAAGATGCGTGACTCCGTTCTCCAGTTGGCCTCGTTCGAGAAGACCGCCGATCACCTCTTCGATGCCGGTGGTGCTGGTCGCACTGATCTTATCGAGGGTGTTTCGGAATGTATTATCATGGGCAAGACGATGGGCCTGGGTACCGGTGCCATGGAGGTTGTACGTAAACTCAACTTCTATGAGGGACAGATTGGCGCGCGGAAGACTGCTTTCGAGGATGCTTGGACTGAATTGTGTGAAGCCCCTCAGCCGACCAGAGGCAAGAAGAGAGTCCGGTAGTGGTGATGATCTTTTCTGCCTTCACTCTGAATGCTTCTCAGCCCTTTCTCTTCTTCTTGCATGTTTTTCCTCCGCATTTTCTCCCTGGCGTTTGAGGGGCTCATTTCTTTTGATCTTCTTTGGTTTTCTGTCTCTGGGTTTCTGCTGAGGCAGACCAATTCTGTACCTGTACACCACCCCACTAGCGCCCTTGTGGCGGCTGTTTTCTGCAACGTTAGCGATAGTGATGATATGGAAAAGACGAATTCTCTTTTGATTATCGACCTGCAATCTTGTAGTGTGTAGAACACATTCGGTGGTAGTGGCCACGTTCTCTTCTCAAGACCTCGGATTTACGTGGGTTGCGGGCGATCTCTCTCCCTTCCCTCGAGTAGTACTTTTGCTCGGGGATGGAAGTCTCGACTTTTCAATCCGCCAGTCCCTCAATGGCCTCCTCCGGTGTACATTCCAGACTACAATGCGCTCGTGATTCCTCCATATCCCCTCTATTGCGCTCACGAATGCTAGGGATACCCCCAGAGCCTGTTCTCTGTACGGCGGAGGACTAAAAGCCAACCTTTCGGTCAACCTCTATAGAGACAGCCGGTCTTCCCTCTGCCAGCTGTGACTTGGGAACCCGCTGAAGCCTACTTGAAGATCAATTTCTCGGAAAATGACCACTTACCGTTTCCAGATTTGTGCAGCACACTCTCTACATGATTCGAGTTCCCTGGATGTGCTCGGGCGCTCGTTCGGGGAGAGCACGCACACCAAGAATCTGTCCAACTGCGATCCAGGAGTCCCAGCTGGCTCCAATCAAAAAGAATGAGATCCCTGCTCCGGACCGTGGTCGTTGCAGGTCCGAAGCGTGGGTTGTCAGCCGTTTCTTTGTTCGAACCGACCTCGACACCTCATCCGGTCACGCCACAAGCGTCAACGCACGACAAGCCAGTATCCAGCTAGAAGATTGACCGTCCAGTTCTTTGTGTCCAGCCTAGAGTCTGCCTCGGCTTGGAAGACAGGGCCCTTCTTCTCCCCCTAAGTACGCCGCGCCGTCCATGGGTCACACTTGCTTCTGTCGAAACCCTCGCAACATCAACCTCCCCGGCTCCCCGATGCTCCCCGAGACTCTTGCATGATCACCATTTGTTTGCACTTCCTGAATAGGGTAACTATTGATCTCGAAACGGGGGCACCATGGATATTGCCGAGCCCAGACTCCTCAGGAAGCGCGAGAGTCGGACACGAGCCCCCACGGCTTGTCAGACCTGTCGCCTGCGCAAGACCCGGTGCGACAATACCAGACCCATCTGTAGCTACTGTGCCATTCAGAGGGTTGAATGCATCTATCCCGAGACTTCGCCGCAGCCTGTCCAGTAAGTGTTTTCTGTATAGGGCTATATGTCTTGAATTTGGCTTTTTACAGGTCACCACCTCAGTAGCTAAACCATCTTCCGCTTCCTTGAAGGGCGGGCTCTGATCCAACCAACAATGAGATCCTCTCCCAACTGAGCCATCTCACTTCGCTAATAGAGGATCTGAAGCAAGATCGCGGATCCACCGTCTCCTCGACGCGATCTCTCAGAAGTTCCTTTTTTGAGATGGGCATGCACAGCAATAATAGCCCCCGAGACGAACCTCTATCGGGGCCCAGCAATCTGCGTGGAAGCAGTTCCGGACTTGAAGATCGTGCGGACGACCATGACCCCCTGACGCTGTACGCCGCCAATTCTGCCGAGTATATGCTCCGATGGCCCGTTTTCAATAAAGTTATTACCGAATCTGAACGACATATCCGCTCTTTCCTTCTCGATTCGCTGGACAGCCAGCCACAGTCGGGTATGCCGCCCCGACAGATTGGTATTGGTCTACTTGATGATATCCAGGGTTTATGTAAGAAGTATCTTCGGTTGATCCACCGTCGAAACCCCGTTTTGGACCGAGAAAAGCTCGAGCATTATGCAAAAGAGGTCACCGTGCAGGGGCCGGGTTGGGACGGGCAATCATGTCAAGTGGTGCGTATACCTTGCCTTAAAACCAATTGAGCTTAGACTTGGGGAGGGGGGAAAAGACATTCCAGTATACTTACTCAGTTTTTGTTCTGGCGCTGCAGCTTCTTGCATGCGCGCTAGGCTGCACTGTCTCTAATTTCGTACCCTTGGATGAGATCCCCGAAGATCTAGATCGTCTCCCCGGGCCACCCCCGACAGACGCTAATATCGAACTCGCGGAGGCGTACTTTCATGCCGCGAAACAGCGTTTCGGCTCGTTACATACTTCGCCCACCGATATTGCATGTTTTCTTCTCGCAGGCTCCTATCACAGACATGTGATGCGTCCGTTGCAGGCATGGTTCTGCTTCCAACAGGCATCTTGCAGACTAGAGGTTCGGTTACGGTCCCTATGCAGAAAGCAATGGACCGCCGACGCGGACTATAATAATCTCGAGTCACGTTTATATTGGTCTTGTATTCAAGCAGAACAGTAAGTTCGGACCTTTTGGGTGGACTCCTTCCTTATTGACATAGGTATCCACTTACTCATTTTGAATTCCAAAAGTGAAATGCAAAGCGAACTTCCCCTTTGGAGTAGTGGATTGGAAAGTCTAGGCTACTCTGATCCTTTTCCGTCAAAGGCAAACTCGACCTCCCCAGAGGACAAGATGGAGGATGACAGTGACAGCCCTCCGAAGCCACCCAGCGACAACAGCGGGTCAGATGAAGAAAGAGGCTGGATACTGTATATTGGAGCTATATGCAACCGCCGAACGGTCAACGACATGCTCATCGATATGTGGCGTTCTGGAGAAGATGAATGGGTCACCAATGTTGGGAGCGTAGTCCAAAGAACCGCCGATGCCGTCAAAGTCGTTGATTATTGGTACGTCAAGACACTTCTAAACCCTATACATCCGATTTCAGGGCTACTTGACTGGCTCCCCGGTGCTCCCCGAAACAACCATTTCCAACTAGACAAGATACACACCTTACTGACCGGGCCTCCTCCTCCTCTTCCTTCTCGTTTAGGCACGACATGAGCCAAGAGAAGTTAGCCCTAGCCTCACCAAGGCCAGAGCCAGACTCCAAAAACCTCCACTTCTACTTTTGGGCCCGACGCGCCATTTCCCTCGAAAAGATCTACCGACCAATCCTCTACCTCGCAGTACACTACCACTCACTACCGGCCTACCTCCAAAGCGATTCCCAGATCTTCCACGAAGTCTCCAGTCAAGCGCAAAAGGCCATCGACAACTGCGCAGAGCTCATCCCGCACTGGTGGTATCATCACCGCCACGAGTGGATCTGGAGTATCATGCGGTCTACTTTCGGTGCGGCCGTGCAGATCATCGCCGCCGTGCTGGGGAGTTCAAATGCCCGTCGGACTGGCGTGTGGGTGTTACATCCACCGCGTCGGTGGGCTGCGCTCGTGCGCATGTCCATTAAGACGTTGGCTTATTGGGCTGGGGAGTCGATAGATGTGGAAATCATGAGGGCTACCCTGGAGAGGATGTATCTAAATACATGTCGGTTGGTTGGGGAGCCGACAACATGTTCGCTGCGTAGAGGGTAGCATTTCATGGAAGCTTTATAATAAGTTGCGTTAGCACGCAGGTGAATGTTCAAATTATGATAAGAATATGATACGCTAGACAGTTACAAGGTTTTTCTCTATTTGGAAGACGTCGGATGGGTTCTTCATTGTAGGGGATCAATTATCTTAATGTACATGGTGGCCTCTTCCCTCCCCATGTTCCCACGAGAAAAAAAAGGAAAGAAAGGAAATGAAACATGCGCCATAAGATGACCTCCCTATCTGCGAACCGCCCTGCTAAAAATGAAGCCTCCGCAACCCACGGTAGGCAAAGAATATGAGAAAGCTGTGTGTAGCATGAATCACGAGAACTGAAGAGATGAGAAACGAGGAAGATCAAGATGAAAACGCCCGGTGCCACCCCGTCCCATGTCTATGGACGATGGGGAAAGGGAGTGGCCATGCAAAACGTTGCGAATGTAACCGAAACAACCCCGAAGAAACCTGACTCTGCCAGACTCATTCCCCCGACACGTCAAGACTGACTCGATCAACGCCTGGTACTGTCTGGCTGCAAGTGGTTCTCTAGCGGAGGTGTTATGCATGATCGTGATATGATGTAGAGTAAGAAATACAATGTGCAGGGGAAGGGTTCATGGGGGGGGGGGTGGAAGACGCGGCGTAGGTAGAGGGGAGGGAACTTTGTCGGAAGCGACCAGATAATTATCCATCTGATCAATATCATCCGGAGGAATCTAAGAGTCGTGTCGGAACGTGCAGTTGTCGCCTTTTCTGCACTTGCCCTCTTTCCAGAAACGACAAGCAACCAGTCCAACCTTGTACTATTCTCAGAATAAGCATCTGACGACTATCATCTCAACCGTGGTATAATGAAACTTACAGGCTTTGGATCATTCGCCTTGGTCCGCTTTCCGCGATTCCATTGGCTATCGTTCGGGTCATCGTATTGACCACTATCACGCATTCGCTTACGCTCGGGGTCCTCGTAACCCTGAGTAGACGGACCGGCTTGCTGGTTCAGTCCCGCGAACTGCGAGAATATGGCACCGAGATTAGGTTGCATCTGCGGCTGCGATTGCGGCATTTGAGGCTGAGGAAAGCCAGTTCCTTGCTGGAATTGCTGCATGACACTCATGAGCTGTTGGAAATCGACACCGCCTGGCAAGGCCTGTGGCTGTGTCGCAGGGATCTGGGGAATCTGTGGGACCGGGGGAATTGAAGGCTGGACCTGTTGCTGCTGCTGTTGACGGAACATGTTGATAGTCCGCTCCAGGTCGGTCATAGGCGCCTGCTGAGGGGCTGGCTGGGGTTGTGGAGGGGGCGTAGACTGTTGCTGTGGCGTTCCAGCCTTGATGAGTTTGAGTAGATTTGGTAAATCGAATCCAGGATTGCTTGCCGGGACGGGTTGCACTGGCGCAGGGTCCGGAGCGGCAGCTACTACTGGCTTGGGATTGACATAATCAAAGTAGCGTTCCTGTCGGGCCTGTTGCAATTGTTAACAACCGACCAACCATTGTCTGAGGGAATAATTGGAACATACCTTGATATTGTCGGGGATCTCGCCAAATGGAATGACTTCAGCCACGCTTTCATTGGGGTCAGCAGTAGGAGGTTCCTTCGGGGTGGATGGGACATCAGCAGGAGAGGCGTGAAACACCATGAGAGTGGTCGCCTCGCGCTGATCTTGTGCGGTCTTCTCCGTGCTGACAGGCAGCTCATCCCCACCACGCTTGATGAAGTTGGCACTTTTCATATCTGCAGACTCGATGAGAATCTGAGATAGGCAAGTGTAAGGATTCAGGATAGTCTCCCGAATGCCACCCAGGTCATCTTCCTCTAATTCTTCCATTTCCTTATGGAGTTTGAGAACGCTACCCTCTCCCTTTACATCGCCCATGCCTCGCATAGACCCATCTCCAGGGCCAAGCTCTTCATCTGGATCATGTGTAAACAACCGAATTTCGGTCAGAGATTCCTCCGGTTTCCATTTGACCCGTAGTTTGCGCCGGGCTTCCTTGCGCAAGCGCTTCTGGCGCTCCTCTTCGGTCTCCGGGGGCTGCTCTTCTGTGGGCTTTGGAACAACCGCCTGCTTTGGTTTGTTAAGGTCCGCCATGAGGTCACCAAATGAGAATGCGGGCTTGGGAGCAGGTGCAGCCGGCTTGTCTTTGGTTTCAGGTGGAGGCCTATTGTGAATGTTAGAAGGTTCATGAGGCGATCTAAGCAGTTCAATCCGTGAATGAGGTTTTACATACGTGGACTTCGCAGCCGCTTGAGCCGCTTTTCTCTCCGCGTTGGTGGTGCCAAGTCTCTTGGAGGCCGAACTCAGTGCACCAAAGATGACAGTTGGCTTGGGTGGAGCGATTGGTGCCTTTGGACGAGGGGTAATCGGATTAGTCGTTGATTTCAAGTTGAGAGAGCCCTCCACGGCGCGTTTGACGGGGCCATTTGGAACCGAGGTAGGTTTTGCGGTCTCTTTAGGATTGGACGTAACAATCATCCGCTTCATAGCGGGCTGACTATTACTCTCACTATCCCGGGGGCGTTTGACGCCAACAATCTCCACAGATGGCGAGTCTCGTTTCGCATGGGATTCTTCCTTGATTGGCTTTGAATTAATCTGCTTCCTTTTGGAAGATGCGGCAGCATTGTCTAGAACAGTCTGCGCGAGTTCCTTAATGGCAGGTGTTCCCTTCTTGACAAATCGTGGAAGTAGCTTGGCCATGTTAGTTTTCTGCAACAATTCCTCATCTACGGTCACGAAACGCGCAAGAAGCTAGAAACCAGTTAGCATGCACATGTGTATCTATAACGGGGTTGAGATTCGTCAATTCTCAGTAAAAACGCACCTTCAGCAAGTTTAATGTCAACGAGCCCTCCAAATCAGCAGCCTGGAAACGATCGGCCAGGAATGAATAGAACACCGATAACGTCACCGGGTGCTCACCAATCCTATATAGATGCAACAATTAGCGATATGGATTGAACAAATAGGACGAAACAAAGATGATGGCAAAAAGTGCTTGGGCTAGCATGCAACATGATAGAGTCTTTGTAGAACGAGAGCATCCACAGTCTCTTCCATTCCGCTTGGTCTGGATTAATTCTCCCGATTCTGCATGGCATGGAGTAGCTTATCCGAAGAGATTCTGGACGAATCCTCAGTCATTGCCGTTTGTAGCTTTGACCTCTCTAGCGAATTGAGTCCATTTACACAAACACGTGCATTGAGCCTCAAGACACCGGAGAAGAGTCTTTAAATCTAGTCAAGTTCAAGAGAGATCAAAAGGGAATTTAAGCCAAGAACCCAAAGACCAGAATTATGTGGGTGTTGCTCTCGATTTGCTTCAAGAAGTATATGGCAATGCCAACCACAAGGGGAAAGTATAGAAGGGTAATAGCAAAAGCTCAAAGGGTGGGGGTCATACTTCTCAACAATAACAGGATGACCTGTTTCTAAAGTAGTGGAGATAATCTTCTCCATGATGCGACGCTGGAGGGCCACGGCGTGCTTAATTTTGGTGGCCTTGTCATTGTCTCCTTGATTCTCTGCGGATTTCATGGCTTGAACTTGGTCTTTCCAGCCATCGCGAAGCCCTTTAACGACATCCTTGAAGGCAACCAAGGAGGCCTTGACTTTCTCAGCAGAGACACGCAAATTACGTGGAGACCAGACCGCTTGTATTGTGTCGTAGTGAGCAGCTTCAAGTGGCTCATTTGAGCGAACCGCAGGGAGGGGAGATGGTTCAGGTTCAACCTCCAAATCCGATTCGTCAGAACTTCCACTGTCCGATTCTTCCCGGTGCTTCTTCTGTCCCTTTACACCGGTCTTTTTGGCTTGCGTAGCCTTCCTAGCCTGAACCTTCTTCGGGGCTGGGGCAAGTGGTTGATGAGGGACTCCGGCAGTTCTGGGAGCGAGTTCGCCTAGCTCATTAGTTAGTAAGGAGTAAACGCATTCTTCAATCTAGGGAGTTCATACCCATTTGGGTTACGCCAGTATTGTGAAGTGTACTTAGTTGTGGCTGGACCGAAAGATCATTCTGGAAATAATTGAAGAGCCCATCGGGTCTCTCATAGTCCACCGAGCCTCCGAAGGAAAAGTTGTTGGGGAGAGTATGCGCTACATTTGACGACCGGGCCATCTCGTTGAGGAACGACGGGTCAATTGTTTGATGGGAGACTCCGGCGTCAGTATTTGTATAGTCGTCGTTAGTGAGGTCGATGGTGTTGGACAAGAGGTCCTGAGAGAAACCCGAGGGCATTGAGTATTGCATGGAGGAATGTGGTGCACCGGCGGAATATCCCGGTTGCTGCTGTTGCTGCTGATGCTGTGGCAGCGGCTGAAGCTGCGGCTGCCGTGGTTGCTGCTGGTGTTGGGGACGAGGGGTACGAGAGGGGAAGGCGTCCTGGAGAGGAAGTTGTTGCGAATGGAAGTAGCCGGGCTGGAAGGAGAATGAGGGAAATGTCGAGCTGTCGGATGGATTGATCCCAGAGGCGAATGTCATTTGTCCTTGATACTGGGGAGGTTGTTGATGGGATTGATATTGGGGGGAGCTTCCATATCGAGCTGGCGTCTGCAACGGGTTTGATTGCCACGAGGGAGGGGGAATGGACGAGTATATGCCGTGACTGGGGTCGGACTGAGGCGTGAGAGAATTCTGCTGTTGTTGTCCTCGTTGCTGTTGCTGTTGAAATACCGGGTGGTCCCATGTGATCCCCATTGGCGCCTGCTGCTGCTCTACAGACGGATTCTGCTGCTGTGACGGCGGCGCTGATTGAGATTGGAGCTGAGGATCCGGGTACAGGGCATCGAGGGAAGCCCAATAGTCAGCCGATGGAACCCCCTGTGGAGCTCCCGCATGGGGCAGACCCGGCATCTGATTTTGTGCCGATGACTGCTCCATGGTGGTGGCTTCCACGCGTTCAATGTCAACTCTTCAGACGAATGTTGCTACACTCCTAGCGTCACGTGCATCCAATAGTATCGAGCTGCGTCACCGCCTGCTAATTCTGGTGAAAACTCGGATGGCGGAAAATCTTTCGGCCGAAGGATTTTGCGGGGAGGAGCGAAGACCAGGTGGATCAGCTAAAAGAGGAAGAAAAGACCATGAGAAGCGGGTTCGAAGCGCTCAGCGAGAACTGAGAGTTATACACGCAAAATAGAGCATGATATTCTTTCTCTGAGTACTGTTTGTTCGTACCTGGTTTAAATATGCCGTTGAACCACGGTTTTCTGCTGGGCGTCTTAAAAAAAAGTGTGAAGCCTCAGGCATTCGCTTGTAGCCTTAGGTGCCAACTTCTTCAGGCTGTCAGGCTCTCAGGCTTTCTGGCTCTGCAGGTTATTTGTGGTTCTTTCCCTTTCCCGTGACTGACGACAACCCCTGGTCTTTTGTCTGGCGTCTTAAGCGACTTAAGATGACGCTTCTGCAGCAATACTCTTGAAGAAAAGAAATGGAACGACCGCGAGACCTTCAATGATCCCGAGAGTTTATGTCTCTCTGAAATGGGTGTCTTTTCACTTTCGAGTTTGTACTTGTTCCACTCTGTTTCCCGGCTTTCTGCAGAGCCTTGTGCTCCTTCTAGGCTCCTTCAGACTGGTCTCAGAAAACACTCGGTCGAGTGAGAGAATAGTCAGGCTCCTTACACAAAGAGCCAGTCTAGCATGATAGCCATTTGCTTTACGTAGAAAGAAAAGGGGGTAATGGGGGAAATGGGGGGATGTGGGAGTTGATGGGTGGTTGATGGAAGGGAGTTGAGAGGGAAGGGACGAAAACCTAAAGACCGCTGGGCGGTAATAGGCAGAACCGGATCTCCGCCTTGTGGCGTGTGGTTTCCCTGGCGAAATCGGGCAGCCTGGGTGTACTTTACCGTATTCTAATTACCAAATGCCCTCGCAGTACAGTACAGCGCGAGTCCCATGTGATCTCCATGTTTGCACCATTTGCTCCATATTATGTCAGCCTCTCCGTGCTGCGGCCAGCTGGAGCGACCGGTGGGAGGCGATGTCAACAGTTCCAGAGTGTCCACATCAGCCAGCTTGTGACCATTTCTGAGCCTGTATCTCATGTCGTGAAGCTGCTTCAGTTGTGACTGTGTCCTTGATCGCTCTCCGTGGTGCTCTTTTCTGCCATGGCGCATCCCATGTCCCTCCGAGACCGACAGGTCGGTAAGTGGCCGCATACTCCTTCCCCGCGACATATCGACAATTCGTTCGAGGCTGACTGAATACCCTGTAATCCAGCGTCAATCCAGAAGCTGCTGAACTTGAATCATGAACCGAAGCCTGCAGATGACAATGCACATGATTCATCCGCTCACGGCGGTCTTATCTCTCAATCCACCCCAATCTTGAATGAAGATGGCGACCCGATCTGGAAGGTCCTGGTGTTCGATGGTATGGGCCGGGATGTCATCAGCAGTGTGCTACGAGTAAACGATCTTCGTACCTGGGGAGTGACTATTCATTTGTATGGCATACTCCAAGCTAACCCCTTTGTGATCTTGATAAACCGGAGCCGCTGACAATGAACACGTCTCTAGGAATATCCACTCCCAACGATACCCCATTCCCGATGTTCCGGTCGTCTACCTTGTCGAACCCAATGAGGCCAACATTCAAGCCATCACGCGCGATCTCTCCCAAGGGCTCTACTCCCCAGCTTACGTTAATTTCCTCTCCTCCGTGCCTCGGCCCCTCCTCGAGGACTTTGCTTCACAGATAGCCACGTCCGGCGCATCGGAGCATATCGCGCAAGTCTTTGATCAGTACCTCAACTTTATTGTTGCTGAACCGGATCTCTTCAGCTTGGGCCTTGGGAACGATGCATACTACAAGATCAATAGTGGAAAGACCAGCGACGAGGACCTGGATGCTATTGTCGATAAGGTCGTCAGTGGCTTGTTCAGTGTGAGCGTTACAATGGGTAAGTGCAAATCTTGGCGGGCTTGATGGTTTCATCCTTATTGAATGTGCTTTGTCTCTAACCGATTCAATCAGGCACGATCCCGATCATTCGATGCCCCAAGGGTGGTGCGGCAGAATTGATCGCGACAAAGCTGGACCGCAAACTCCGTGACCACATTCTCAATTCAAAAGATAATCTCTTCTCGGGCAACCAAAGAGCTTTGCCTGGAGTACCCTCGTCCCGCCCCGTTTTGATTATTATGGACCGCAATGTCGATCTGGTCCCCATGCTCTCCCACTCTTGGACTTACCAGTCGCTGGTGCAAGACGTACTTCAGATGCGCCTAAATCGGATCACGTTGGATGCGGACGAGCAGGGCTCGGGCAAGGTTGCGAAGAAATCGTACGACCTGAACAGCAACGACTTCTTCTGGCAGCGAAACGCGGGGGCGCCATTCCCTCAGGTCGCGGAAGACATTGATGCTGAGTTGACACGGTATAAGGATGATGCGAACGAGATTACGAAGAAGACGGGTGCTTCATCTATTGAAGACCTCCAGAACGACACTAGCGCTTCTGCACAGCACCTCAAGGCGGCTATTACGCTGCTCCCTGAATTGCGAGAGCGAAAAGCCGTGCTTGATATGCACATGAACATTGCCACTGCCTTATTAAAGGGAATCAAGGATCGTCAATTGGACAACTTCTTCGAGTTGGAGGAAAATATCACCAAACAGTCTAAGTCGCAGCTCTTGGATCTTATCAACGACCCCGCCAAGGGCAGCAACCCGCTTGACAAGTTGCGCATCTTTATCATCTGGTTCCTCAGCACAGAGACCGAGCTGAATCGTGCGGAAATGACCCAATTCGAGGAGGCTCTGATCAAGGCTGGGGTATTGGATGTCACTCCTCTTTCCTATGTTCGGCAGGTCCGTGAGATTACCCGGATGACCATGATGGCCACCGCCGCCCCAGAACAGCAGTCCTCAGATCTGTTCCGTGGCTTCTCGTCGCTTTCGAACCGCCTTACCGATCGCATCACCTCCGGCGCCTTGGGTGCCAATTTCGACTCCCTCATATCAGGCGTGAAGAACTTCCTGCCCGCAAACAAGGATCTGACCGTGACAAAAATCACCGAATCCATCATGGACCCGTCCACAGCATCCAGTTCCGCTATCGCCAAGACGGAGAACTATCTCTACTTCGACCCTCGCAGTGCCAATGCGCGCGGTGCCATGCCTCCTGCCTCGACATCACGAAACACTCAAATGCCCGGTGGAATGGGCGGCCCGGCCCCAGGCATAAATGCCACCTTCGGCCAGCGTCGGCAGGCTTTCAACGAGGCCATCGTTTTCACTGTTGGCGGTGGAAGCATGGATGAATATGGCAACTTGCAGGACTGGGTACGCCGAACAAGTGGTCAGTCGGGCGCGGATGGTGCGACATCCGCTAATCGCACGATTGGTCATCGCCGAGTAGTCTACGGTAGTACGGATTTGATGAACGCGACCGAGTTCCTGACAGATTCGTTGGCACCTTTGGGTCGGGAGAGTTAAATACCCTAGTCTTCTTTTCTCTTTGGATTTATGCGGGTGGTGAAGGATATCGTCGGTAGCCAATTCGGCGAGGTAGATTCGATGGTTGTAAAACATACTTATAATGCAAGCACAAGCACTCATACAAACTTATACCACAATTTCAAAATACGAAAACTGTTACAATTTAGGCTTTACCTGCCCGAGGCACCCTTGATTGCGTTTCCAAGCACCTCTACAATCAGCACGCCTCGTCTATCTCCGCAATCACAAGTGACATACACATTCTAGATCCAAATTATTGGAGATGCAACTCAGAACATCCCTTGTCTCCTTCTTCATCAGGTCAGGCTCTAATACAATAAGAAGCAAACCGTGGCTTGAAAACTATATCTTCGCGCCAGAAGATATGAGTCTTCCTGGGTGGAGGGAGTAGAAGAAAAAAAAAATGCGACTATTGGACCTCGTGGTTGATCTACTTCTCCAAATCTCTGTCGATATGGCTAGTTCACTCGTGGCTATAAGATTTCTCACAGGGCTATGGCGCCAGCTGGTCCAGTGCAATTTTAATATGACCTCGTCGCTTCCATATTCACTTCTCGAGCCAGCACAAAAATTCCCGGAACCTTTGGAATTGCGTACCGGATGAATCAACCCATATAAACTCTGATTCTGCTATTGCATTGGCATTGTACAGTTTTGGTTGGATGATCTCCCTCTCATGGATGATTCAATGTGGCGACCACGCGGCCGAATACGGTGAGATCATCAATGGCCACTGTGAGACAATCTTAAGAGGTAGCAGCTTTTGTGTCAACCATACAGGATGGCTGTAGCTATATTCGGATGACTGCACTCTTGAGAAGCGCCTCATACTATGGCAATAGCCCAAACCAATGAGAAAGGGTGATAGGATGTATGCAAGTGTGGGGAAAGTCTATTAACTTGCTGCAGATTTCTGCTACCCCGGTAGGTCAAATTTAGCAAGGTTACAAGTTAGATTGCAGCATGTTATTGACAAATGAAATGACGGAGAATCCTCGCCCCATGCGGCAATAGAGCCTGTCGAGTTTTCTCGATTACTCCAGCCTCATGTAAGTAACTATTTGGAGATGAGACAAGAGAAGCATCGAGATTCTCAGAGCTGTAATCAGAACCGATTGAACAAGGCTTCCTCAAATGAACTCATGTTGCCTCTTCAAGAAATGTTCCATCTGTCTCGTTGCCAGATGTTTGCACAACCGCCAGCTCAACACTTTCGCCTCCCAAGGCGACAAGCCTAGAACAAAATTCACCAGAAAAATGAGCTAACCATCGAGGCCCTTCAACTCTCCCGTTTGGATCGCCATCATGTTTCGACCAGCGGCGTTGCCTCCATATTGGCGAGTTTGCTTCATACTAAGCCGAATGATGTCAGTAGATAGTCATGCCGGTGGTGTCGAACACACCACAGAGCGCCACCAAAATCAATTATAAATATGCAGCATGAATTGAAAGTTTGATATCAATTCAAGATCAAGTACAGCCAAGTGCAATCAAGCAAACCCCAAAAAACCCAAAACACCGACTTCCGGGAGGAGTCCAGCACATTTGCCAAAATGACCGACCGCCGCTACGGAAACCGCACCTACGACAACTACGATACTACAGGTACAACCTACGATACCACCGGAACTAGCTATGATCCTACTGGTTACAGCACCTACGGCACTACCGGTGTCTATGACGCGGGATATGGCACCACCACCTATGACCCCAGCACCGGTGCCTACGACCAGCATCTAGATTATCGCACCGATGATGCCCGCCGCCATCACCGCGAGCGACTTGATGATACCGGCGTCTACCGCCATCGGGACGTTGACCGCCACGATGATGGTACCACTCATGTTCACCGAGAGTACGATAACCCCAACACCGGTACCAGCTATCACCGGGATTATGAGCGGTAAAATATTAAAGCATTAATAATGGGAGGAGTCGGTCTTAGATTCGCATCTAAGCTTGTGTATAGAGGTTCATGACTTCACGACTCCGACGAGAATGATGGGAGAATCTACAAAAAAAGGCACAAACTGATTGAAAAAAGGATGAAAACTGCCTAAAATAAGACAAAAAAAGGCACATGTTTTCTATGGAACTGTTCTAATCAACCAAGAAAATATCACGATCGTTAATACACACTCTTTTATCTACAAAGGCTCTCCAGGACAAAACTTGGGAGGAGCCCCTCCATTTGCATGTATGCATATTCAAGAGCGGAGATTCGGAGTAGAGGGTTCATTGGCATTGCAGCTGATCTTGTAGAACATGATTTAGGCGTTGTTGGATGGAGATCTAAGCTTGTCTTGGGATCGGCATACCTGTACCTTGGTTGCCTCCTACGTATGCGTATTAGTTCATTCTACATGGAAACCGAGCATTGTTATATAGATAATCGATAATTGATGATCAAGGTTCTATTTGCACTACAGGGATGTAAACAATCAAGCATAGCTTCTAAAGTGCATATTATTGTTTCAGCAAAAGTCCTTAAGACTGATCGCCCGAGCTGGTCACTCGCCTGAGGCTGAACGACGCTGATGCCTGAGGCATCACATGCAGGCGCAAGGCTCCACCCGCATGGTCACCCCCCAACTTACGCCCCATCTGGCTCCCCAGACACCTCAACCTGTGCAGTCAGCGCCTTGTGTTGGGCTGAAACAGATCCTCCTTAGCGGCGCTTCTCATGTCCCCGTGATAATGTCCAGGAGGACGCTGGGAGGAGGTCGCGTTTTAGGCACTCCGGGGGCGCTCGCATCAGCCCCGTCCCCGCAGCCGAAGCCAAGGGTGCTATCGCCAACCACCAGCAGCGTTTCCCTCAGCTCCCAAACCTCCGCATCTCAGTTCTCAGCCGAAACTCAAGACCTCACCTCACGTATATCTTTGGAGAATGGCGATACTTCAATATCAGCTGCCCCGGCGGCGCCAGGAGCTCAGCTGTCGTGTCCGATCTGCAACGAGGAGATGGTCAGTCGATACTTCCCTCTGCTTTGGAATTATTCCCTAGACATTGATGAAGACTTGTTCTAACCGTCTCTCAGATGACGTTACTACAGCTTAATAGGTAATAAATATCCCGGAGCTCGCCCCTTTACCCCCCAAATCCCCGTGTGCGGCGATTGATCAATGGGCAGGCATCTCGACGACATCCACCAGAACTTAGAAGACGACAGACAAGATGAAGTCAAGGACTGGTTCAAAGTGCAAATGGAGAAGGCGAGACGCTTCCAGCCTCTCGCTGTGCTGAACCAGAAGCTCAAGGGCTTAGACGTGTTCGAGTCAAACGAGAACCAAACCACTTCCGCGACCAGTCGCCCTCTGGCAGTCCACGCAACAGCACCCGAGCCCTCAGTTACCCCCAAATTGTTAGATCCCGAAGATCTTATCACAAAGGAGCATTGGCAAGCTCCTGGTCTCTACGATAGTTGTCTGGAGCCCTCGTGTGGTAAACGACTCAATGCAACCAATGGATGCGTGAACTGTCGAAAATGCGGCAATCTCTTTTGCGAGGAACATACAATGTACCAGATTAAATTGTCGAGGTCGGCACAGCATGAACCAATCAGAGGAATTTGGGCTCGAGTTTGTGAAACATGCTACAAATCAAGAGAAGGCTACAACGACCATACTGGTGAGTGCGCCGTGGCCCTAGCGGTTGCTATGATAAATAACCAATGCTTATATTCAAAAGGTTTTACGAGAGACCAAACGGATGCATTCAAAAGGATTCGAAAGCAGACCGTAGACAAGGATTTCCTCGAAGTCTCTCGACTTGAGAAACGCTTAACACGTCTGACGCAGCTTTTGGCCAGTCTACCACCTGACCAAATACAGAACAGTTCGACAAAATTGTTCTCCATCGCATGGCAGAGTGATCAACGGAAATCCCTGGAGCAAACAGTCGTCAGCTGGCAGGACGACGCCAGCGTCTCACGTTGTCCTTTTTGCCAGCAAGATTTCTCCGGATATTCATTCCGGAGGCACCACTGCAGAACTTGCGGGCGGGTTGTCTGTGGTGATCCAAACACGGGTTGTTCCAGTGAAATTGGACTAAGCATTGCGCCTCGTAAGTCAGCAGGTGCAGTACTGATAACGTGAATCTTACTAATTCTTGTATACAGTTTCCAAAGCATCAGAAAAGTCCACAGCAAAAAATCTTATCAGTGTCGATGTGAGGCTTTGCAAAGAATGTAAGAGTACAATCTTCGATCGCCGAGATTTCGAAGCAGATGCCTCCAAGAAACCTCCCGAGGTCAGAGCATACGAGAACTTGGTGCAATTCGAAAGAGGCATTCGCCTTCATTTACCCAGGTTCCAGAAGCTTCTTACTACATTGCAGTATGTCTACACATTTCATCCTCGCAAGATACCTTCCTAATAAATGAAATAGAGATCCAAGGCGACCACCGTCTCCCGCGCAGCTTGCCGATGCTTCGAAAGTCCGTAAGCGACTGATCGATTCCTTTGCCAAGTACGATGTTGCGGCTCGGCGGATCCGTGATCTACCGACCAACTCCCCCACTCAGCAGCGACTACAGAAAGCTATATATCAGCAAGCCAGCAATTTCTTGCATATTCACATGCTCCCCTTGAAATCCCTTCCCAAGGTTCTCAAACATGCGCCCGCAGGAGATCTCACACCCAGCCGCACATCCTCCCCGATCACACCAATGAATGGTTCTCCAGCCGGGGCTCGACCGCAAGACTCTGCCCTTGCCTCCATCAAATATAATAATCGGATTGCTGCCAGTGGTAGCACCAGCAGCCTAGCCAGCGATGCTAGCAGCGCCGTATCAGCACTCGAGGCGGAAGAAAAATCCCTTCGAGAACGATTGATAGTCCTCGAGGAACAAAAATTCTTTGTTTCGGAAATGATCGCGGACGCGAACCGCCGACGCAAGTTCGACGAAGTGAGCAGTCTCGCGGTAAATGTCGAGGATCTAAGTCGTGAAATCGACAAAGTCAACGGGATGCTCGCTGGACTTGATTTTGAAGGCGTTTACACTGGCCATTTACAAGCCAATGCTTGATCTATAACTTTCGTTCTTTAAGCGCAGATTGCACCGATTCAATGCGCCTCCGTATGATATTGTCTGCCCGATCTGGTCCATCAATGGATTTTTGACATTTTGACGGGCGTTTTTGAGCACCCTTATTTGAAATGTGCATAGCTTTCGGCGTTGAACGGTTATCCAAGGAATGAATGTATATCCACTCTGAATCATAAAGTAAAGTCTTCTCCATGACATCTCCGTGGTAGAAATGAGCTCTCTATATCAACGGCGCGACAGAAAAGTTCATAGCACGATAAGGCTAGTCCTAACGAGGAACGCCCCCTTCAATTCAAAATGCTACATTCGAGACCTACATAGTACCTGCCGAGACCTTATGTACATATAACCCTATATAATAACGTTTCTCGCAAGTTTGATCAGCGAGTGTTTAAGTCAGCATTACGTGAACTTGGTTAATATATCTTCTTTCCAATCTATGCGTATTTAGGTGAAGTTGATAGCTATTCACTACCTTGGAAAAAACCTTAGGAAAGGGTGATGGTAGGAACGTAAAATGAGAGGGCATTCCTTACGAGGACTAGGCTTGTCCTGCCACGAACATTTCTGTCGTGTCGTTAATTCCACCCTTTGTTTAAGCAACCGGGATCAACTACCCCTTAAACGTGCGTAGCCCTACGGTCCGAAATGGCTATCCTCCCGCGCGACATCCCGCGGTGGGCTCTTCTTCACTTATCGGGAGCCGGAGTAGATGGCGCCATGTACTCGGTACCTATTCCTTGCCCTATAGAGCTGGGCGCAGCTTGCACCCTGCTAGCTTCGGTACGTATGCAGATCCAACGGCAATACAATATGCAACGGCAATCCCCGAACACGAGCGTAAAGTGCCTTATTAGCTAGCCCGCGACTGTAAGATTGGTTATAATCTCAATAGGTCTCAGAGAGCCACATGGTCGAGCTGACACTTCCAGGGTCGGGAGATGCCGAAGATCATTCTGTGGGCACTGGCCAGGTTAGGTAGGACTCATCTCCGAACTTGGGCTAAAATGGTATTGCGTGGCACTTGTGAACGCGTTCTTGGGTCATGATCCATGTTTGACAAGATATCTTCGGTCACTTCAGTAATTTGAATGTCTCCTTTATGTTGGTTCTTGATGTCGATTGACTATAGACTGCAAATCTTTTTTGCGGGGCAGGGGTCAATGCAACATCGTATCGAGAATTCCCAATTAGGATTCTGCTAGACGCTCCAGTACGGTACCATAGAACCATGTTGCTTAGCGACAATAATCCCCTTGTTTGAGCTATTGCACAGAATGTCAAACTTGGCAAACGATCTCCTCAGTCTTCTCAGGCCCGGGACGGTCCACTTGTTTCGCGAGTGGAAGTGGGGACCACCAAAATTGTCAGGTAATTTCCGACCTACTGTTGATTCTGCAGATCACACCTCATTTCTATGTAGCAAGCGGAGCGAGCTACAAATGATCGGCTGTCTCAAAAGCATGCTCTCTGGGATCTTCCGTGCTGTTCGGATGTCTTCCTTGCCAGACTTGCCGGCGAGATGCAAGTCAGGAAGATCTCGATTCAGATGGTCGATTCTACATAATATCGCGAAGTGGTTCAGATCGATGAATCTATACATCGCAAGGACCCCTCTATTAAGCCAAGACCCTCATGTTCACGAGCTTTGACCACTTTTTGCCTTGGTTACAAGCCCAGTCGATAGTAGAGTTCAACAGGCGATTGCCTCTTTGCAAGGCGTCCCATGGAAAAGAAAAATAGCATGGTCCAGAAGTCATCGGGATCATCCTAACCCCTGGCTCAGCCGCAAGAGAAGTAGTACAATAGACGCTACCCAGATGACACGTGCCCCCTGCATCAAGTACGGAATACAATAGTGAAACTATCGTCCCAGCGCTCCGTTCACTACTCCCATGACAGTGGCAACGGTGTCAATTTTTTTTTCCTTCGTGGACTAGAACAACTACTAGAGCGAGACTAGCCGCGCCCGGCTGGAATTGTGCATGTGGAAGCCAAGAAAAAGTATCCACTTAATGCTACGCCGTGCACTCCTCGTTGGTCAGAAAGCCTATTTATAATCCGCCTTTTTTCTTGAAGAACTTGTTCGAGTCATGTCGCCGAACTCCAGGGCCCTTGAAGGAATTTAAGCGAACAATAGGGAGGTCTAAGCGGCTCGAGTCAAAGCCATCGGGCCCAGGTTACTTTCCGTAGTTGCTTAGTAGCCACGCGCAAGTGGACTAGGTTCCATGGAAGCAACCTTCAAGGGTTGCAATCAATGGGCGCCCCTCGTACATGCGGAGAGTGCCAAACGGCCATTCACCGGATTCGCTCTCCCTGGGGAAGGTTTGACAAGGTTCGCATTATTCTAACTACCTCCACATTTTATTGAATTCCATGGAATAGCGCCCAACGCCTCGCTCCTCTTGGTCATGGAATAGCCAGTTCCAGTTGAACTTGTGACAGGCAAGGTGCACTCGAAGATTTCCATGACAGGTTACCATCTCCAAGCGTGCGCGTAGGCAAATTAAGTTTGACCACCCATAGCCCCCCCGCCCCCCCCCCTCGGCTCGTAGTTGACAACTTCCAACAGAAATTGCCGACACGGGCAGTAAATGGAGACTATCTTCCAGTATCATCTCACTAGCATCGTCGCAAGTGGCCCGTTGTTCCCACTAGCCTCGTCGGAGAGCGCATATCACCCGTTCTAGAGCCTCAGTCCATATTTTTTTTCTTTATTCTTATAACTATTATCAACCCGCGTTGTCCGAACACACGGAGAACCGCGCCGCATCGACCCGCTTGAGTTGCGCGGGCCTCCCGTCTTGCCACTGACGACCACGATTGTAATGCTTGGCTCTCGCCAGTGATTTTCAATTGAGTTATTCTCTTTTCATTTCTTCTTTCCCCTAACCTTCCCTTCGTTTTTGGTAGTCCTTTGGGAGAGCGGGTGGACAGAAAGAAAAACGGCCGTCTATGTTGAATTGTCTCCTGGGAGGATCATGTATTGCAAGTGACCCACGACTTTTCACTTTCAATTGACTCCTTCACCATGCTACCATTGGAGGGTCGCAGCAAGACGATCTTCATCGTCACCACTATCTTTTTGGGAATCTCGTTCATCGCGGTTTGCCTACGATGCTTTGTCCGACTCAAGCTCGTCAAGGCCTTTGGCTGGGATGATGCACTGATGGTTTTTGCAATGGTAACTAAATGGCCTTGGCTCTACGCAGAGTTATCCTGGATTTTTCTGCTGGATTTACTAATAATATCTTATCTAGGGTCTTAACGTTCTATTTGCGCTGTGCGGGATCACTGGCGCATTATATGGAATGGGTCAGAGGTCATTGGAGCTCGTGCACCGGGGGACCATGGAGACTGCCATGTTTGTAAGTTCTTCGATGTGCGGACAGGCCACCATGTAGTGGCACGCAGGAAAGAGTTCAGTACTAACAATCGACTCGAAGTGGTGGTGGCTTGGCCAAACTAGTTACGTCTGGACATGCGCCATCGCAAAGATCTCCATCGCCGTCGCTCTCCTGCGCCTCACCGTCGCCCGGGCTCATTACCTCATCCTGTGGGGAGTTATTTCTGTGACCACGATCATTGGTCTGATATTCTGGTTTATGTTGACTCTGCAATGCCAACCCGTGTCATACTTCTGGCAACGAGCTCGACTGGTGACCAACCCGGAGGCGGATGTCCACGGCCACTGCATCAGTGTGGACACCATCATTGATATGGCCTACGTCTATAGTGTCACCGCCTGTTGTTGTGATCTCGTCTTGGGACTTCTCCCCATCTTCCTTGTGTGGAACCTCCAAATGAATATCCGAACGAAGGCCGCCTTGGCTGGTATTCTGGGCATGGGCTGTGTTGCGAGCGCTGCGGTCATCGTCCGTATTCCTTACCTCCACCATTACAAGGACACGGACTTTTTATGTAAGTTCCCTTTTTTATTTCTCTACTCTTGGAGTGGGAAAAATCGACTAACGTCCCTTCTTTCCACAGACGCCACCGTCGACATCTCCATCTGGTCCAACGTCGAAGCCAGCCTCGGTATCGCAGCCGGCAGTCTCGTTACCCTCCGCCCTCTGTTCCGCTGGTTCCGCGACCCCAGCTACGGAGGAACTCGAAGCAAGCGAACCGGCAACAGTATGCCTCTCTCGAGCGCGAATGCAATTCGCTCCGATCCCGCTGGACCTCAGTACTGGCGACCCGATTTGGACCCGGAAGACACCAATGCTGTGATTACGACCATTCATACCTCGAATCGAGGCAGTCGGACGAGCAGCCAAGAAGATCTCAATCCGAAACAAAGGCAGGAGCAGGGGACCTTTTTTCGGGGTGTGAACGTGCAGAAGACCTTCTTCGTCTCGGGGAATGAAGAATAGCATTATAGTGCATGTCATTAATGGAACACTTAATTTTTTGAATATACTCCAATTTTCGATGAATGACGGTTTTAGCAGCATATAAATTCCACGGATGCCCAATCATATATATCACGATTCTGGCAATCGCGTACAGTGAGGGGCAGTTCTTGGTCTGATCTTCGAGACAGGCCGAACGACGCAACACCGCCTAGTGGGAGCTGCCTATTTTTTCCAAGTATGTAATGTGAATTTCTAAACATCCTTCACCGTGACTCCTCTCCCTGTTACAGATATTTCGGTAATTGTTACCATTAAGATGATCTCGGGGGGTTAAACACACATGTCACGTTCCTATCCTCCCCGGGGTTAGCTTGCCTGTCCGGATGGTCACCTAGAGCCTCAAATATATATTCTGTCCAAACCTGGCTAGTGACCGTTGCAAGTGATGCCAAACGAGGCTAATGCAGCCCAATCAAGAATTTAGCCCCAGTTTCTTCAGAGCCTGGGGCTAAGGAGTTATTTGATCCTGATAGTCCAAGGCAAAGCAAGCTAAGACAGCCCCAAATCCTTCGACTAGTTAATCTCCACCTCCCCGGTTGCGATCACGGAACCTGTCCATGGACTGTGTCTTTAAGGTTGGTTCATTATTCAATAATTCCGACCGCTCTTCAACCAGCCCTGCCGGGCTAGCTCAATCGGTAGAGCGTGAGACTCTTAATCTCAAGGTTGCGGGTTCGACCCCCGCGTTCGGCTATTCCTACAAATAACCTGAGATCCTTTCTTTTTTCGTTCTTCAATTTTTTGGTCTGGTTCATGAGCAAATAAGTTATTTTATTAGGTATTGAGTCATAAGTCCGACATTTTTAGGACCTGAAACCTTATTCCTCATTACCATCATGCATGGAAATATAACCAGTGTTGGTAAATATAACTTAGGTAGCGCATGTATGGAAATATGACTTATGCTATGGTGAAATATCAATACGTATAACTCCTCTATGCAAGTGTTGCAACTTTGTCGGGCGATTTAAACACCAAGGTGAGACAGCTCATGCCCTAGGTACCATTTACCGCTAAAGCCACCGGGGCAACTCGAATTTGCTGTTACGACGAAATGAAAACTCATGCACTCGCAGAGACAGAGATTCAATATGTACAGGGTAGGTCTCACGCACAGTACGAGTTATCACAACCCGATCTTAGGGTATGAAACAAATCGCTTACTTCCACTGAGCCTCGGGCGTGGCCTGGAACTTGAGCAAGATATCCACGACGTTCTCCAGGGCCGTGACCTCCTTCTCGAGGGCAGCGGTCACATCAGCCTGGTTGTCGCCAAGCTTCGAGTAAAAGTCCTTGCGGTATGGCACACCGGACTTGATGGCGACCTCGGTACCCTTGCGGACCAGGTAGCCGTGATGGGTGTTCAGACCACCAGGGGCCTTGTAGGCTCCCAAGAAGGATGCGTTGAGCTCCTCGGAGGGGTTGTTGATGCTCAGGCGGAGGGCAGAGGCGGTGAATTGCAGGCCACTATTCACAAGAGTATGGTATTAGCGAGAGCCCATATAGACAACCGATATTGCGCGCATAGGTGAAACCACCGATTGCACTGGAGAGCTATTGTATGTTCATCACTTACCGGACCAGCCACAACAGACCCTCGGTAGCCTTGTGTTGCCCCGACTTCAGCTCATTCCGTACGAGGTCCTGCAGAGTCTGGGACTCGGCGGGAGCCTTGTTGTACCTCTCTTGAACTTTCTGCCAGAGAAGTAAGTGACTGTCTCATCCAATCCCATATTATCGCCCCTCTTGCCCCTCGGGCATGAATGGCCAACATACCGCAATGTTTCCGGACAGATCGCTCTTGACTGCAGCCAAACCAACTCCACCAATCACATCTACAATCCAACCGAAATCAGTACCAAGCTTTGCATGCAGGGTTAGGGTGAGACAAACCGAACAGAGTGACCAAGGCACCAGCGGCCTGGAGGAATTCCTCCGTCGAGATAGCGTTGCCATTGGCGGCGTCAATTGGCACCTCCTCGAAGGATCGCTGGATGGTGCTGAACCAGGTGCCAGGGGCATGAACTTCGTTGGTACGAGACATGGTTATAATGCAAATATGGAACAATAGGAATAGTTACAGTGCAGGGAAGAAGCAACAAAGGGGAAGGACTAGCCCACTTCGAGGCGGGGTATGTCAACAGCTGTCCCGTTTCCTCACCGCCGCGAGCCACGCAAGCCAGTCAGAGAGCGGGGCACCCTGAAACGACGAGTGCAAACGATTTAAACATATCGGAGCTAGTTTGCTCTGTTTGCATATTACGTCATCGTATCCTGCTTTCCATCTGATCGATCGCAACTTATTGAGTCCTCTCGTGCCTCGACGATCATTCCACGGTCCACTTTCCCCCCCTTTCCCCGCTGCAGAGCTTGCCTTTCTCAATGTACAATTCATGATCATCTACTCTTGCTCCTGGTAGTTAATCCACCCAATGCCATGAGCACCCCGGACCAGCCCAACGGGTCGGCGCCCACAGATAGCTCTGCTGCCTTGCAAGATGGGCACTATCAGGGCTTGCAAGAAGGATCCCATACGGAGCAAAAGCTGGTAAGTCAAAATTGAGTTTTCAGGCCCCACAGAAGTCAAAGCGAGTTCTGCTACAAGAGACTAACTGGTCGGTTTCACCATGCAGCGTCATGCCTCCGCCCATCACCTATACATGACCAGTAGGCGCTTCTTCATCGGGCCGATTCCGGAGGGTTGGATTAATGGGCACCGAAAGTCATGGTATCGCTCACGACTACGATTCAAGAATTACACATCGCAGACGCTCTCGTTTTCTGTTGACCCCGTGGCCTCTCATTACACCCAACATGAATTCGACAATGCGGAGAACTCTGCGCGTGATTTGGACGAGGAGGTCGCCATCACTTTGAGTAATACGAATGATGAATTTGTTCCAGGAGACGAAAGCGCGGCAGATACGCAGGAAGCTGCCGATGAACCAAGAGGGGAGCTACGTACCCTCTCCCATTCCATAGAAGAGACGGAGGCTATTGAGCCGCTGTCTGAAGATGAGATATCTTCTGAAGAGGACTCTGATGCAACACCTCGAGCAAGTGCGTATACGGCAGCCGAAAGAACCGACGATATATATGACAATGGAGAGGCTTCTTCCTCATTCGTGACAGCGAGGGAGGACCTGACAAGCTCTGTGGATACCGTCCGGACGTCGTCAACTATTCAGCCCAGGAGACCGACACCAAACCAGCGATCCGTATCACAACGATCACAGCATCTGACCATTGCCGAGGACAGTAATGCGAGTCCACTAGTCTCAAGTACATCTGCAGTTGCAAGTGAAACTGGTTCCACCACGCCATTGCTAAAATCCAGACCCAAAAATACCGAAAGGATGAGGAGCAAAGCTTCAGGCATGTCCCGATTTACACTTGACCGACAGGAGCCACAAAACGAAGATGACTCTGAGCCAGAAGATTCAGGACGCAATGGGCCAATACAGCGAAAGATCACCCAGAAGATGGCAAAGTTTAACCTAGATGACAATGTCATGCATAAGCAACAGAGACTGCGCTCTCGAATTGCCAGAACTCAGGGCACAATTTCTGCAAATCGTCCACGTCGGCGCCAAGTCCAAGATGGTGAAATCATTAAAGCGGAGAGAATGCTGGTTTCCGTCGAAGAGACCCTACAAGATACGCTGCCAGAGGATTATACGGAGAACGACTCCCTGAAGATGGAAACACGAACCGTGGACAAATGGCGAGAATATCTAGTTGTCTGCCGGAAAGGTTCAACCACAGATACCCCGTTTGCATTGCAAATGTACCGAACCCGTGTGATTCCAGATGCCCAAAGCGCGCAGAACAAATCGAAACCCTACTATGAAGTACGGCTTCACCACAAGAACACCAAGGTCAACCTCTATTCCGCTCTTGACAAAACAATTGTGATTTGGCATCCATGCAGGCGCGGTACCAAAATCTACATCATCCGTCCCAAATCGACAGCCCACGCCGCGGAGTGGTATACTCTCATTAGGCAGGTGCTTGGCTGGCGGCGTCCAAGCAAGCTTCCCATCAACGTCCCCGATCTCGGTATCTCGCTGGTGTTCAAAAACCCTTTCGATCATCTAGAGGCGCAGCTTGGCATGAATAGTAATGATAACCGGCACACGACCATCTTGAAGCGGGCCGCAGCACAAGACAAATATGTAGCTTCAGCTATTATCAAGGGCTGTATGGAGATGCTCGAGGGTCGCCCCGAGTGGTCCGAAGTCCTCAAGGCTTGGTCAAAAACGGAGAAGATGGGTCTCGCTTGGAAGCGATATGATCGCCTTGAATGGATATTTGGTGCGAACGAAGAGAACATGTACGGCACAATGGCGATGCAGACGACGCACGAGCTTGAGCTTCGGCCGCGATATCATTACCCCACGACCACCAAAAGCGCAGGCGCCAAAGAAGTGGAGCCTCCACCAGTCGAGGGTTTCTTGATTCGACTTACCTCACAGAAGGGGCTGCACCAACGTATGAACAAGATGTTCTTCAAACGACTGTATTTCTATTCGCAGGATCACTTCCTACTATTTTGTCGACCGGCAAAAGCATATCCACCCACGCCTCCAAGATTAGCTCCGATGGAGGAGTCGAGTATTCCATCTGCTCGCCAGATAATGGACGAGATGCCAATCTCTTGGGACATCGAGCCATATCCTGTACAGGATGGTGAGATTACATGGCTGACCAATGGAAACCGCGAATTTGTCCAACGGCATGACGAAGAGGCATATGCCCAACTACAGAGAAACGTGCACAACATCGGACAGGCCGATGGGTACATTGACCTTTGTCAAGTGCGCGAGGTCCGTAATATGCAGCCCGGAAGTAGCCCCGCGGACGCGAACATTTCAGAAGGACCTGCTGTGGACTTTCACACCGAACCAGAGGATACCCGCCGAGACGATGGTACAACCAAGGAGTTTGAACATGATCGGACATTTGAACTAGCGCTTGAGAATGATCTCGTTATTCGCCTCCAAGCATATGATGCTGCTACGAGAGACGAATGGGTCAAGCGATTGGATGCATTGGTCAAATACTGGAGGACACGCTGCTTCGATGATGCTGCCGAACTCCAAGCCATGCGATTGCGGAACTTGAAGCTCTTGGAAATTGACGAAGAAATGGAATCGATTATGGGCCAGTTTGCACAGAAGTGGGAGGTCAAGAAGGCCGAGGCTTCTCCACATTTACACAATATGTGTGCGTTGTCTGGCTGTCGACCGATCAAGGTATGATGATGTCCTTCTCACAGGAAAAGCATTCGTTTTGCAACAATTCTGTTCTAACAGCACCTTAGATGTCTGGTCAACTCTATCGCAAACCCCGTCGCCACTCCACCTTCACCAAATGCCATGTGATTCTCACGTCAGGCAAACTCGTCATCTTCCGGAGCACGCTTCGCCAGCGCAATGGTGCTGAAATCCCCCACATTCACCAAGATCACGATGCTACCATCGACCTCAGCGACTGCTACATCTACTCCGGTCTAGCTACCGAGGCTGATCTGCTATATGCCAACCAGACATTCGACAGCAATAATCCAGGCTTGCGTGCCCTCCCACGAGTCTATCTTGCGTCAGATACATTCACTAGCCGTGATGAAGATTCGGCTATCACCTTTGTGATTTGGCAACCTCTGCGAAAAAGCTACTTCCGCGCGGAAGAGAGAGGTGCAGAAGGTAAAGCCACTCGAACTTTGCGACATGTGTCGGCCCTTGGCAAACATGGTCGTACGATCGTTTTCAAGGCTCGTAGCCGGGTCGAGAAAGACCGCTGGGTGCTGAGCATCTCATCAGAAATTGACCGTTTGCAACAAGAAAAGCAGGAGGATATCCGCATTGTGTCTTTATAATACCCATTGTCTTTTTTTGCCTCGTCCCGCATCTTCTTCCTTGCTTCCCCCCGAGCACGCACACGCATCTAGCATTTCGGGAGCTGGTTGGTTTCTGTTTGAGCATAATTCATTCTTTCTTCTATACATAGTACACGCAACGGATGAATATTAATAGTACAGTGATATCTCAGAAGAGAACTCTATATATACAATGTAGACAGCGTCCTGATGCCATCCCACATGGAAATGCTCACCCCAGACTCGCACTCACTCATGCCCTCATGGTTACGAGTTTCAATAATCTGGTGGCCTCTCCAACTTGACAGCTTCCTTTACTACGCGGTCGCGAACATCCTGCCGATAATTAGGTCCCAACGGACTATCCGAACCAGCCTCATTTGAGTGGCCAGACTCCCACTGTGTCCAATCCAACCAGCGCATACGTGGAGACAGCACACCAATGACTCGACCGGTAATCAGACTTATACTGACGGGGCCATATGTATTGCTGTCGAGGGTCCTGCCCGCATCCGCATCGCCTTCCAACCAGACATGATTCCACGGTATGATCTGAGTAGCTTTCAAGCACGGTTCACGAGTGGTAATGCGATCACCGGGGAGACCAACGACACGTTTGATAGCAATATGGGAGGAGTTGGCAGGTGACCTAAACAAAGACCGAGGTATAACGTTAGTTTTCGAGGTGCAACTTCAACGCGACCGTGGCTGGATAGTCATGCGAGCAATCCGTCAAAGGCACCAAAAGGCTATATCCATACCGGAATGTGACAATCATCCCCCTCTCTAACCTCTTATCGTTCTTCCACGGTAGTATCCGATGCAGCGACCACATGTTGACCAATACCATATCGCTCTTCGTTTGCATCTGGTCGTAGTCCTCGTTGAGATACGGCGTCATCGACGGGCCCTTGACCCACATTATTTGCGCGACATGCTCCGAGAAGAAAAGACAGATAGGAATGACTGGAACTAAAAAGCGAGCGCCACGGCCCATAAGTCGAATTGGCCGCGGGAGAGCTGCACAGCGCTGTGTGTAGCGTTGCCGGAGGTTGGAGAAGAAGGTGTGGAGCGGCCTTTTGCGGGTTAGGCTGGGTCTTCCTGGTTCTGGAATTGGTGATGGCTCTGGTTGAGGGAGAGAAGTAGGCGCTGATGCTGTTTTAGGAGGAAGGCGCCCTGTTTGAGCGAGGACTTTTGCATCTTTGGGGTTGAGGGCGCGCATCGTTGAGCTTTGGGGTTTGCGGTCGGGTGGTGGCATGTTTGCGGGGGGATGTATGGGCCGGAGGTGCGCGTAGGGGAGGACAATGGCGGTTGGAATTTGAGCAACTGCAGCTAGGAACGCATGTCGGTTGTTGGTGGCCTATGTGCGAGTAGATCCTCGTGTGAATGTACTGTAGATGTCCGCGGAGACTTTCGTGATTACGGGAAATCGATAAGAAGCTTGACATTTGCATTGTTTGTTCTGACAAGATGGCCTCAGGCCAAGAATCTCTGGTAGACAGCATCCAATCATGATTCGTTATTCATACAGACATAGAGGGCATAAAATTCCTTTTGCGTGAGAGACAGGAGACAATGGGCGAGGGTGCCGAGGAGGAGAAATACCACGGTAGCAAGATGGAAACAAGGTGCGCACAGGAGCATAGCGAATGAAACCTCAACTCCAAGCCATCCTCCTTTAGAATCACCAGCAGAAACATTCGGTCCTTCTGGGAGACCGTTTAATCCATGGTGGACACATCATTCTTGGAGTGCACACCATCCTTACAAGCTCGGTCTTCTTTGGGAGGCAGGTCGCAATTGGAAGCCACGTCTTCGACAAGGTTCGAGTCGCCCTTGAGAGGCCGGTCTTCCTTGGCAGCCACATCTTCCATGGAGTCCGAATCTTCTTCTAGGGCCACATCTTCCTGATGAGCCAGCTCTTTCTTGGGAGGCAAATAGTTCTCCGAGACCCTATCTGTCTCGTTGGCAGGCTCTTCGGCTGAAGCCAAGTCCTCCTTCGTAGGTGGGAATACCTTACTGTATATCGATGTTAATCCACACGTTCCAGCCCATGCAGGATGAGATAAACTCACGGAAGAACCCTCCTGTAAGCCGTCTCGTCTTTGATCTCGAAGTTGCAGAAGATCACTCGTTCCAGCTTGTCCTTATTCTCGGGTAATTCCAAGAACTTGCGCACCTCATCGGCGGCAGCAATCGCAGCCAACTGGCTGGGGTAGCCATAGATACCAGTACTGATAGCTGCAAATGCGATCGACTTCATATTATTTTCAACAGCCACCTCAAGACTGCGGCGATAGCAGGAGCGGAGCAAGGTCTCGGGGCTTTCAGAATCTCTGGTGAACTCTTTGTCGTAGATTGGGCCGACAGTGTGCACAACTTTCTGGCAGGGCAGCCGGTACGCAGAGGTGATTTTGGCATCACCGACCTCACATCCGTTCAAGGTAGCACATTCCTTGAAAAGTTCGCGGCCGGCAGCGCTGTGAATAGCACCATCTACCCCACCACCACCAAGCAATGAGCTATTGGCAGCATTCACAATGCAGTCAACCTCAAGTTTGGTGATATCGTAGCTAATGGTTGAGACAATATCATTGATGGACTGCACTGGAGTCCGCTCGGTAGGCCTCTGACCAAGGTTGGCAGTTCGGTACAATTCCGATACTGTTGGGATATCATGTAATCCCAGAACCGGACGAGGCATTTTGCAGGGTGAGAGTCTGTTGTTTTTGGCAGTGAAAGAAGGGAAGAAAGGGGAAAGAACGAAGGATGGGAGGTTGTTGGCCAAAGACTCTTCTCTAGGTGGTGTCCATCACCCAAAGTGACGTACAAACGTCACATGACAACGAACGTTATGCACAGCGTCTACCTCACTTCAGTCTGTTCTGTTAATGTCAACGGCGACGGCAGCTATCTACGATTGCTTCACAGTGGAATTTTATCATACTTTGGTCATTATCGACCCGAGACAAAGTTAGGTAGGAGAGATTTAGCTCGGTAGAGGTCCCGTTACCAGGCGACCATGGGGCCAAAAGCACAATCCACTACGGCAATCACATCACATCCTTTGATGCAATGTATATGATTACCCCAGGAATAACAAGATCCAATTAATATCGCCCTGAAATTTTGAAACGAGAAATGCACGAGGAAAAAATCTAGACCGCAGTCTACGCCTCTCACTCAAACTACTCCAGATCGAGCACCTACCTGCTGTCATAACGGCTACGTACCGCACGCTTCAGGTCAAGGCATCTTTTTGAGACACCTCCAAAAAAGAGATACACCAGGTCTAACCATGCAAAGCTTAAAAGAAAGAGAAAGCCAGCGCTTCGTACAAGCCCCGGGGCCCCACGCTTGAACAGAACATCTCTGGAGCGGGCAATCTTCCCCCGGCGACAAGGGCAGAAGGACCGACCTGGGCAAGATACTATGACTATTTCTGATGGACTCGATCGGACTGGAACTCCATACGGCAACTTGCATTGCATATGCAATCTGCACGCGACCTAAAAGGATGTTTCCTTCTTGATCGCGCCCGCGGGTTCTTGATTGACTTCCGTTGTCATTTTTCCCTCTCAACAGCCAGTCTCAACCAACCACACCTCGATCTCACCCCCTGTTGTACCAGTCTAACGGGCCTCAATGGGCCACCAATGAGCCGGAGACGCAAAAGTACCCTAGGCGGGATAGCCCGGACTTTCAGGCTAGGCTCGGGGTTTGGTGAACCTTGTCCTTAGCAAAGCTAACGAAGGAAAATTAGAGACAAGTCCAGAGTTGGAGATGCCCCCTTGACTCGTCTCCGGTTGGGGATGGGTACCAGCGGATCAAGGAGGGAGGTCAGTAGGTAATGAACTCGAGCTTGGCCAAGACACGACCTCGGTGACACATGAACCCTGGGACCAGAGTCGAGGGGCATACTCAAGTTACATATTACCTTGGCTTGCCTCACTAGTGGTAGGCAATGGTAGGCCCTTGTGTACCGAGTACAAAAAGGGTATTCATCGTTGTAGACCCATCGCATGCACTAAAAGTACGAGGGGGTTACCGGATGCGTGGCCGACACCGAGGCGAAACCGGCTTGATAGCCGCCCGAAGGATCTGTTACTATTCCTGACCTCTGGCAACGTTAATCATGCTGGCTTCATACAAAAGTTGAGGGGTACGAAGTGGTACTTCTGGCTTATTGGCGTACTAGGATTTTCCCATGAGCGTCCACTCTACCCAGCCACCGGGGAACGAACATGGGTGCAAATGGAGCCAAGAGGTCGGGGGCTTCTTGGTCTAGCCGCTGTTTTCTTACTTAGACGCTGACCAGTCAAGCATTGAGAAGTTTACTCCTGTAGTCATCTTCTATGTACCAGTTTTACCGTTCCGATCGCGAGTCATTCACTATACCCAAAACAACTGCTTTCCCGAACCAGCCAGACGAAGCTGAGAAAGAAACCCAAATCAAAATACCAAGAGACATCGTGGATCCAATTACGGGGAACACCATCAGCAGGACTCGTTCTCGTGGAGCTCATTGAGTGGAGCCCGCTCTTCTATTTCCTGGTCATCACCACCCTCACTTTTCCCCTGGAGCCCTACCGAAACAGGCTATCGTTGAGAACGAATTAGGGGGGGGATTTGCAAAAATGAAAGCCGTTTAGCTGTCATAAACTTGACGTTTCTGAGGACCATGGATCGGCGGTCGATAGTCGCCAGTCGCGGTGGTTGATTTGATTGAAGATTGCCGATCGTTCGGCTGTTGTGCTGTCGCCGTCGATCGCACGGATCGGTCTCATTTCACGGATGGACACTAGTTCGCCCAGACTCCTTCCTGTTGGAGCGAAACGATCTTGTAGCCGGAGATGGCCATTGGTCATAATAGGTTCCCAGGGAACTCAAGCTCGATGCCGGGGCTTGCTGCTAGTGCTAGGAGATTTCGGAGACTACTGTAAAAAAAACTTCTTTTCTCCATTTGAGGGGGCTTCTGTGGCGTCAAAGAGGAGGAGTAGAATGGAGTCCACTCGGGTCTAGGTGGCCCTGCTTCTGGAGCCACAGATGGAGTCGGAGTAAAACCGTTTCTCTTGCTTTCTTCCGATTATTATCCTTTGCATGGTTCTTTATTTTGATCAACTGAGCTGCTCTTTGTTTACCTGTGGAGACAAATCTCAACCCTGGCTTCGGGATGGGGGCACCTTGAGTGGATACGCATCGGATGTCGGCTTATTGGTGACAGTCAGTCCAATGCTGCCACTTTTAGCGATGGAGAGAACCTAAAGTATGGAGAAATGGACAAGATACGATAGAGCAAGAAGAAAAGTCTAAACAAGGTGCCTAGCTAAAGTACTGTATGACAGCTTATTTGTTTTGTTATTATTGTGCCATAGATATCTAAATATAGACCATGCAATACCATAGGCAACTGGCCTATTTAGTTAATGGGACAAAGGCACGATTCCAAATCATGACTCGATCCCGACACTCAGGTAGCTCAGCTGTCACAAAAACTCAGTTTCCTCGGTCTTTGCGGAGTATATAATTTTAGTTGATTATTCTTTGTGCTCTATCTGAGACCAACGAACCCCCTTTTTCACGCCGCAGCGTTAGGATTCGTTTTGTTGCCGCCGGGGGCAAGAAAGCGGGCGAGGCTGATCGCTAATGCAGACACCCATGCACAAGCAGCTGTCAAACATGCCGCCGTCATCAAATAGCTGGGAACATGCATCTGCAGCTTGCTCATGGTAACTCTTAACATAACATACAAGGCTAAGCGGGATGATCATATACCATCTAATTCTACATAGTCGCTTTATAATCCCGATGATAACTACCTGATAACGCATCTGATAGCGTCTTGAACACTAGTTCATACTCGTGGATTAGGTGCATACCCTTGACTAACGTAAATTTGGAATACATCCCTGTCGTACAAGTCGTGATGCCAAAAGCAAAGGGTCTGTAATTGAAGGGAGATTTTACGAGGCATCCATCAAACTCAGAGACTGCAATGATGCCTTTTCGGGAGTTTCGTACGCCAGGAAAGTTCTTTCATCTAGAATGTGGCTCTCCTCAATGCGCTGGTCATTTTGTAACTAGGAACCCGCTCCGGCATGATACCGACCAGGGGTGTCAAAGAATGAAAGTAAAGACCAACTTGCCATCGGAAACCTGCGCTTGTCATGAAATCCTGGCGGTGATAATCCAATCAACGGCCCTTAATTGGCTCTTTGGGAACCTCAACTCTGCTCTCTTTCATGACCCTGTCACATGAATTGTGATTAATGAACACTGTGACAGGCCGTATGAGATAGCAACAAAGCAACACCAAGACCGGGGGAAGATTCTTCGTCCAGGAGGCACGCCCGGCAGATCAAGATTAAAGCCCTAGGCCCGAAAGCTTCTAGGTCTAGCTTCGGCCGGGACTAGAGAATAATATGTCCGCCGCTCTCTGTGCTTTGTAGACAAAAGTCCGAGAGATAGCTTCGTTCTATGCGGTGGACATTCCAGCCGCCTATCATATGCAAACTTCAACGGCAATGGAAACATACTCCTCAGTCATGAGTAAATTGATCGATGACTTAGCTATGTCGAATTCAGCGCCGTACCTAGACTTCTTGGTGGTTCATCACCAAGACTTCCTCTTTTATTTCGCTGAGGTGTAGTTTGCTTTACTTTTCACTCCCTAGCTTTATGCTAGGGTTTGCAAGAAACTGATCTACTGTTGCCACTAGCATGCACTTCGTAATTTACTTCGCCAAGTCGTTTTGTTTCCGCGGGACCGAGATATATCCTGTCAATCTTTCTTGTGTAGGCCGCTACTTCGATAGGCCTCGTGTGTTCCCTCCCCTTTCAGACGTCAGTCAAAGTCAAGATTCGCAGATCCCGACTGTGCATAGTACATTACGAATGCCATGACGAGCACGAGTACAATATAGAATCCACTGGCTCCATATTCATTACTAGAAATCGGAGTGAAGAAGTCAATCGGGAAAAAGAATGATACTAGTGGCGGTGGGCATAAATACCACCTAGCTGTACCGGATCGAAGACAGAAAGAAGCAAGACCGATTCAATAGTTTCTTGTCGTCTACCCCGTTTACTGTGCCGCAATTTATTTTGCGAATCTGCTGATGTTCTGGAAGACGGGCCTTGGAAGAAACAAGAGCAATAGTCGCATCCACTAGGACCCCACAGCCTGCGGATCTCATTTAGCAGTTGGAGATTAGTTCAACCCGTCGCGTGGCTTTGTGGCCGTTTTACCCGTTAGCTCATTAGACTTCTCCTCGGCTTCCGCTTCTTATTCTCCGTTTTTTTTTTCTTTGCCTCTTGTCTATCAAGGATATACAGTAGGTGGCAAGTTTTGTGGGTAATGATTGTCCGGCAAAGAAAACTGGAGATGGGGGCTGTCTATTGCCGCAAAGCTCAACGGTGACTAGGTGGACCTACAATTGTATCTTTTGTGGGACTTTTTCATTTTCTCTGTTCCATTAGAAGCGGTGCGATTGGCTACTTGTTGGTGGCTTGGACTAATCTTGAAGGATCGCAAAGATCCAAGGGGGTTGGAAAACAATAATCGAATCGCCAAGCAGAAAATGAGTACTGTAAATGGTAATTTCAGCTGGATATTCGGATTCTCGAAGCATTGACCAGGTCTTCCCCTCTTGCCTACTTTGTTCATGGTTGTTAATAACCTGACTTTACCTTTGTATTTTTGCA